TTTCACCTCAGATTGCATGCTGGTTTAAATTTCCTTTCTGAAACTAATTTCTGAACTAAATATTTTGCTCCTTTGTGCATTTGCATTGTGGAAAGAGCTAGCTAATTCTGTGTTTCTGTTTCGTTTTTTTTTTTTAGCTAAAATATCAGTAGCATCATGATTTTGCATCAGATTCTGCGATTTTCTTCCCTTTTTCGCTCTGCTGTTTCCATCCACTTGCGGAGAAACATTGGGCTTTCAGCTATTGTCTTTAATAAGACAAAAGAGCTTGATCCAGTTCAGAAGCTCTTCGTGGACAAGATCAGAGAATACAACACAAAGAGCAAGTAAGTAATGGAAATTATTTTAAGGCTGATGGCAAAAGTGGGAAAAATGTTGATTCTGACAAATGTTAAAATATGTTAGCTCTGTAGCTTGATGTCTGAATATTTAAGGTACACTTTGGTGTCAACAGGCAACATTCTGTAAGTGCTGAGGTCACCAGAGAGCAGACCAAGTTCTTTCCAAAGACATTTTAACTGTTTTAATGTTTACACTGCTAATCTTACCTCTGTCTGGTAGTGATGGAGGGAAACTGGAAAGAAGAGTCTCGTCAGTCAAATTTATCTTTAAAAACTTCTGAGAGCCCACATAAAGCTGGATAGAAATATTTCATGTAAATGTTTTAGCTTTAAAAGTGCGTGAAGGGTGGCACAATTGTTTGGGGTTGTTTTTTGGGATTTTATTTTTTTGCTGGAAGCATAATACTTTGCAGCTTTCACTGGCACATTTCTTTGGTATAAAATGACAGTTTAAGCAGAAGGTATTCCCAGGTTTAAAGCTAAATTTAGAGCAAATCTAGCTCTTGTGCTCTAAAAGAACACCTGAAACTGCTGACATATTGGCTGATATGTGGTGATAGTTCTTCTCCTGTTGGTGGTATATGCTAGTTCAAGAATATACTGAGAAGGTGGCATTGGCAGTGTTGAAAATGGAAAATTAATTTTTTTTTGCTCTGGTGCAGGAGAAAGTTGCCTTATTATTGCGTTGACCATTCTGAAACAAGTTTCTGGTTTGCTCACAAAAACAACCTGAGAGGGTTTAATTGTGCTCTGAAAGAGAGTTCTTGCTTTCCAGCAACACTTATGATAGTATCATGAGTGAGAAGGCTTGTTCTTGCATACCTGACAGAAAACATCCATTTTTTTCCCCTTAAAAAAAAAAAAAAAAAAAAAAAAAGGAAAGTTGATGTCATTCTTCTTAGGGAGAAGTCAATGAAGTTTTTGTACACTATGGAAATGTATGTATGAGTATGTTAATTTTTACCCATGTATGTGCTCTAAATAAAAAAAAAAACAACTTCTTTTTTTTTGTCTGGGGAAAACTGATATTCTTCAGCCATATTTCCAGAAGCTGATTGTAAATGGCCTCCAAGAGCAACTGAGAATTAATCGAACTGTGAGGCTGGTTCATTACACATCTTAAGGGAATAAGTAGTTAATTCAAATGGAGTCTTAGATTCTTGTAGTGTTTAAATGAACTATTTAACAGGAAACTAAGACTAGAGTAATTCTGTGTAATTTATTCTTGGGAATTATTCTTCGAAACGAAATAAGCCACTTCTTAGTTCTGGAGGAAGACGTATGTTTCCACACTTACAAACTAGCCTCTGTGTATAAGTATATTTTCAGTGGCTTTACCAACCATATGCGATACCTGTGTTGGTACTACCGAGCACTGGTAATCTAAAGAGTTACTATTTTAATTTATATTTGTACTTCCAAGAATTTCCTGTCTGAATCTATATGAATGCATGGTGTCCTGTCTCTTCATTTTTTCCTTGTTCGATATTCAAATCATGTTCTCTTTGCAAGAATAGTTAAGCTTTATTAACCAAGATCACTAATTCAGAAATAGCAGAGGTACAAATCACAACTTTCTCAGAAAATCACCCCTAGCACAAACGAAACTAAGAGCCCTGAAGGCCTGGATACTCAGTGTAGTTTTATGTCTCAAAAGGCTACCGTTGTAGCTTGCATTTTCATCATTCATAGTAGAAAGCCTGTACTCTACCCTGATAAACCTTGTTTATGTGTAAGATAAGTAGGCCCTAAGGTGTGTCATATCTTGTTGGTTCTCAGAGAGCTTTTTAATTCATAAATGGCCATGAAAATGTGGAACTTCCACGTGAAATTTCAGAACTGAGCTGTTAATCACAACTTGAAATGTTTTCTAGGCAAGCTGGAGGGCCTGTTGATGCAGGCCCTGAGTTTCAGAAAGACATGAATGAATCGCTTGCTAGACTTCAACGGGCATATGGTGAGGGAGATCTAACCAAGTTTCCAGAATTTAAATTTGAGGGTGAGTTAACAATCCTATTGAACTTCTAATTGCAAATAAGAACATGTTCACCAACTGGTTTTCTTACTAATTCCCATTGAATTTTTATTTGGATCATTAATTTCATATAAGATTCCCTCAGTGAATCCCCTTACTTTTGCACAGTTTACATCTTACTCCATCTGACTTTTTTTAAATTATTTGCCTTTTTTAGATAAAGATGTGGACTTACTTATACTAATGCTTAACCAAACTTGCAGTCAGACCAGGCTATCTTAATTACCCTTCACAAACCCTAAAGAAATAGCCCAAATAGAAATATAGATAGAAATAGGCCAGTTACGTTTTTTTTTTCCCCCTTATCCCTCCAAAGATAATTTGAAAACCAGTTGTCTATGTTATCCAAACTGCAATTTCTAAATGTTTTAAGCTCATCTGGAAAGTTGGTGATTTCAGAAAATGAACATAGAACTTAACTTTCTTACTTATGATTACTTTGTGACTAAATTATATTAAATCTTTTTCTTCAGTTATTTGGATATGACTTCTGTTTAACTGCTGTAAGTTTGTGTTCGCATGTTTTCGTATTACCCAGATTGATTATGACAAGAAGAATGCTCATGATGACTGGTTTATCAAGAATGCAAAGAAACTGCACAAACTCTGTCTGCCTTGGGGCATAAAGGCAACTTAATTTTTTTATGGGCAGGCTCATTTCTATGCTTTGTTTCTTTTGCTTGCTTATATAAGTGCAGCTCAAAGGCTTCATTGCTTACAGGCAGTTTTAGCTAAAGTCAGGTGGCGGGGGTGGGGTAAGTGGTCTTTCTCATAAGCTGTAAGCAGCTGGTAGCTGGGATTCAGAAAGCTTTTGAACATGCCAGTGAATCTGGTTTACATGGCAAGGTTTTGGTGGCAGGGGGCTGCATGGGTGGCCTCTATGAGGAGAGGCCAGGGGGTGTCCACACATCAGACAGAACTGGATCCAGTGACCTCCAAGATGGACCCACTGCAAGACACAGCTGAGCCAGTCAGTGATGCTGGTGGCACCTCTGACAACATATTTTAAAAAGGGTGAAAAATGCTGTCTCTTTTCAAAGCCCTCCTGTGGAGGGAG